GTGTTGCATTAATGTCATAAAAAGTTCTTTGGCAAGACAGATGTGTATCCGGGGGGCATGCCATCGGGAGCACTGTGTGTATGAGCTGCCAGCTGGCACCCGGGCCCTGAATGGCAGATGTCGTCTTAGTGGGGTGTGCTGTGCTCGTGCAGCCAGGGACCCCATGCCACTGACTGGACAGTAACTGGTTCTCCTTGGGGACAAATGGGAAGACTTTAGACCTCGTACTGCCTAAATCCCATTGTCAGGGTGGGTATGTTTGGCTCCTTGTAGAATTCTGAGGGACATAATGTCCTGGGCCCTCAGGTGTGGAGGCCACACGCAGGCCTGACTCCGAGAGCCTGCGCATCTCCAGGACTCCATGTGGGGACGTGTGGTGCTTAGAGCCCCATGCTCTGTGGGGCCGCCTGGGCCCACCACTTCCCTGGCTCCCAGGAGGGGCACTCAGCACTGTCCCAAAGGCTCAGAGGGTGCCGTGCCTGCCCCTCTGCTGGGTGGCCCTCAGAGACAGCATTGTGTGTTGGCTCTGGGGACCGCGTGCGAGTGGCCTTCTGTGCGTCCCGCTTCTCTTGTTCACTCGAGGCTCACCATGTGGTAGCAGGTGTCAGGATCTCCTCCTGAAGCCAAGTGGAGTTCCAGGGTGTGTACCATGCATGTTTTTATCTGTGAACCGGAGGCGGACCCGGGCTTGCATCCACTTTTCGGTGGCCGTGGGTACTGCTGCTGTGAACATGGTGTGCAAATGCCTCAGGGTCTCATTGCCCTCCGCAGCGGCACACTTTGGGAGCCACTCCCAGGGCTCCTGGTGTCTTGCTTAGGAGGCTCCCTGGAACCTTCTCTCCTGGAAAGGGCCCTCCTGGCCAGAACGGGGCCAGGGATGCAGTGCCTGCTCTCTGCTCTCGTCCATGTGGTAGATTACTATGGTCCTGCCATGCTGGGCCTGAAGACAGACCAGGAGGTCCTGGGGGAGCTGGTGAAGACCAAGCTGCCGGCGGTGGCGGCCCTGATGGACGGGCACGGTATCCTGTGGACCCTGGTGGTATCCCGCTGGTTCATCTGCCTGTTTGTGGACATCCTGCCCGTGGAGGTGAGTGTGGTGGGTGCCTCTCCGGGGCCGGGGCCGCTGGGGCCGCCACCCTGTGATGCATCGAGTGTTTCTCTGCAGACGGTGTTCCGAATCTGGGACTGTTTGTTCAATGAAGGATCCAAGATTATCTTCCGGGTGGCCCTGACCCTAATTAAACAGCACCAGGGCTTTATTTTGGAAGCCACCAGTGTGGTGGACATCTGTGAGAGGTTCAAGGAGATCACCAGAGGGAGTCTCGTGACGGACTGCCACACTTTCATGCAGGTGAGCATCTGGGTGGGCTCTGTAGCACCGCCCCATAGCCCAGCCCAGAGCTAGCTTCTGCCTCTCCCTGGTCCACCCTGGGCCTCTGTCTTGATGGGCCCAACCTCCCTCCAAGCAGCCCTTCCAGACCCACCTCCTCCCGGAGCCTGACTGCTGCACCTGCTGCTGGGTCGCAAGCCCCATGGTGTGCTCCAGGGTGGCAGGGACCCCTGGTCTCTGGGGTCAGACCCACCTGACCCACGGTCCTGTTGGAGCCCTTGCCCTGCTGCCAGCGTCTCCTTGGACCCGGGGCGGGGAGGGGAGGTCTCCTGTGTGTGTTGTCCCACCCGGTAGGGCAGCTTCCTGAAGCTGGGTCCCGGATCCGGGGCAGGCTGTGAATCAGCTGAGTGAATGAAGCAGGAGTTGACAGTCCTTCTGAGGAGGCCGTGGAGGCTGAGAGAGGCATATTTTAGGTTTTCCCCTTTCCACCTGAAAGAGTCATCAATGCAGGGGAGGTGGCAGAAGGTGCCAGGAAGGCCAGGAGCCAGGTGGTTCTCCCTGCCTCCCAGGAGGTAGGAAGCCCATAGCTCTGTGTGGGGACACTGGCCACTGTCAGGCAGCTCAAGGGCGGCCTTCTGTTGGCGGGACTGCCCTAGGAACCAGGACGCTGGCCAGTACTCGACTAGGGCTTTCTCCCACCAGGGGGAGTGGGGCAGCCCTTAGGGAGCAGCCTGGACAGAGCGAGAGCAGCCGTGGCCTGGGCCCTGGGGCCAGAGAGGAGGGGTCCTGCCTATAGGTAGCCTTGAGGACAAAGGACCACTGGCTGTCGGGGACCCTAGCCAGCAGGGGATACAAGCGTTTTCTGAATGGTGGATGATGGGCAGGGTCATCTCAGCCGGTACACACCTGTGCCCTGCAGCTGAGCCATTTGGACACTGGTCAGGTGGACCTGGAGCCCATCACGCATGGCAGAAGGGCTCTTCTGTGCCTGGGGGCCCTTCGGTGCCAGTGTGAGGAGAGATGCAGGCAGCGGGGGAGATGCTGGCAGCAGTCTGGAGATGAGCCTGCCATTTAGGTCCAGGAGCCGGCACACCAGACCAGACAGGACAGGACCGTAGCCGGCCCTCAGCAGCGTCCCTGCTGCAAGCGCCTCCTGGCCTGAGGTCCCGCACGGAGGGTGATCAGGGGTTTTCTGTTTTAATGAGATGGAATTCCCCTTGTAACACATACAACAGCTCAGGGGTCTCCAGTACATTCCAACGTTGTGCGGCCACCACCCACTCCCCGCCCCCCCGCCCGGGCTGTCTGCCGGTTAGCCTCCATGTGTGACCAGCCAGCAGAGGACTTGCACACAGCAGGTGCTCCTTAAGTGCTGGTATCCGTAGAGCGCCACAGGCAGCCAGGTGGCTGGTATCCTTGTCAGCTTGCCCACAGGGGAACCGCTGTGCTTGGTCACACAGGGCAGGTACGCCCCTTCGAGGGAGGGGAGTCGAACATGCATTTGTGTTAAAGCACGTCAGCACGGTACTTGGGTACTTGCAGCTCATAAATCAGAGCTCTCTGCAATCCCGCATGAGAACATCTAGAATGTTCTGGAGAACAGAAGCAGGGACCTCGCACCAGGTCAGTGCAGCAATCCCAGGAAAGAATGCAGCTCCACACCGACGAGGATTTGCCTGCCACCCTCCTCCTTCAGGAACGTGGCGAGTCAGGACAGAAACACTCCATCCTGACCTTAGTCCCTATGTAATACGTACCTATGGAAGAATTTCTGGAATTTTTATTTTATTATTTATTTATTTTTTTGAATTTCTTTAAAAAAACTTTTCAATGCTAGTCTTACTTTTGGTTCGTTTGTAACTGTGAATTCCTCAGCTGTCACTGTGAAGATTATTAAATTATTAAGCATAAAAGACGTGATGGCAGGAACTTCCTTCCACTCCCCAAGGGCTCTGGCTGTGGCTTCAGAGCTGCCACAAGCCCTCAGGGTCAAAGGGTCAGAACAAATGCCCCACCCTGGGGAACAGTCTGGCAGGGCAGGGTAGGGCAGGGCGCAGCACAGCCTGAGGGGGTTGGTGAGAGCTCGCAGAAGCTTGCAGCTGCAGGCCCTTACCTGGTGCCCGTGGGGATGCAGCAGAGCTGATAACATGTTAGTTTTTTAAACTCTGTTCTAGAAAATCTTCTCAGAGCCTGGAAGCTTGTCCATGGCCACGATCACCAGGCTTCGTGAGAGCTGCAGGGCCAAGCTGCTGGCACAAGGCTGACCCGAGGACCCCTTGTCCACCGCCTGCCCTCGGCGAGGCTTCATTTCTAGGGCTGACCAGTTCTGACTGCTTCCTTTTTTTTAGCGCTGTGAATACTTGGTGTTCTTACACTTGTGAATTTCTTAAAGGAATGATGTAGCTGTGGACGCAGTAATGGGCTACAGAATCATAAATTTCTAAAAATGTATTTTTACCTGAAATGTTCAGTTATAAAATGAGATGTATTTATAATAAAGTATGTCAACACCTATGAGTTTGTGATCATCAGCTTGTCTGCAGACTGAAACTTAAAACTGCAAACTCTCATTAGTGTTATTAATGCCAATCAGGTATTCTTCTATTTTTTCCTGTGGCACAGAGTTTACCTTTACGTGAGGTTTGTGCACACACCACAGGACTTCTGGAGACAGGTAATTTTTAAAATGTTATTTGAAATGATCCTATTATACGAATAAAGCAGACAGAAGGGGATAAGCTTTAGGGAATGGCAAGTGGCGGCGTTGGGCCGGCGAGTGCTAACTGTACCTCCCGTCACCCTGGGTCCCTGGAGGAACACCAGGCAAGACTCCTCCTCCCTGACCCCAACCTCACCTCTGGCTGCAAAGAAAGCCTGGAGATGTGTGACCTGTCAGCTCCCCTTCCCACCCATCTGCCCTGGGGGTACCTCTCAGCACCCCTGCGGCTGTGGCTTCACCCCTAAAGGGAAGCACACTTGAGGCACTGGGTGACGGTGGCTGAACAGATGGCAAGGGCCTGCTTGTCCTCGGTCCAAGCCCAGCTGAGGCAGAGGTGCTGCACTACCCACCCCTGTGTTACACAGAGGATGCTGCACTAGGACCAAATGGGCATATAGGTAGACGCTCTTGTGTGAAGTGGCCACTTGGGTAGGCCACCAAGGTCTGGGAATCCCTGGGGCTGCCCATCATGGGGCAGTCCAGTGTGAGGCTGGCTGGCATGGTTGCCCAGCAAGGCCTGACACATTAACCTTGTGGCCCTGAGCCCCACTCCCAGGGAAGCCACGCTGGGGTAGGCCCCTGGGTACAGGGATGCAGGCGATGCTTGGGGCTCCAGTCCCAGGGCTGCCTGGCAGGCAGGCCAGCTTCAGCCTCACTCAGCAAGGTCCATAAATCCTAGGAAGGCACAGGTCTTTGCTTAAAAAGGAGATTAAAATAAATCTTAGGCTTCAGGTCCCGTTCTGAAAGCTCTAAGCACAGTTGGCGGGGCCTCCTGCAGCCACATCCTGGAGATTAAGGCGGCCCCTCTTCAAAGGGGTGGGGCCACAGGGCTCCAAACCAAGCCTTGCACGAGTCCACACCACCCTCCTCCTTCAAGTTACCCAGCAGACCCCTGTCTCCCCTGCTCTCCACCTCTTATGAGAGCAGACAGAAGGACGAGGTCTAGGCAAAGAAAGAAAGAGATGTTTTATTAGCATTGTTACAGCAATGCGTGACATGAAGGGTCCTCAGTGCACAGCCACCCGAGCGGCAAGCGGGTAGATCAGAGCGTGATACCCAGTATTTACACAAGTGCAGGACAGGATCACCCCGAACCTCAAACAGAAGACTGAAAATCACTTTACAAAAAGGTAAATAAAAATAACACCCATTTGTCTATTTAAAAAAAGTGCCAGCTCTCGAGTGGCAGAGCATGGAAAGACCACAGGCAGGCCCTGATGCTGTAGTACTGAGCTGTGCGCCCGGAGGGGGAGGGAGGCCGGGCCAGTCTTGGCTTCTAAAGCTTAATTTAAGTGTTCCGGATTTTCATCTTTTGGAGTACTTCTGTTTTCAGATCTTTCTCTATTAATTTCTTATGCATACCAGTCTAACACTTAAACAGCTCTCCTCAGTCCTCAGGTCAAGACCAGGTACCTCCCACGGCGAGGCTACAAAGTTCAATCAAGAATGAAGAGGCCAAACACCAGAATCTTAAATTTGGCTTAAAAGCCAAATGATAGTGGAGCCAGTGCCCTTTTAGATAAGCATTCTTACCCTCCCACCTTAAAGTTCTACTTTGGTAAATATTAACATTTAACCATTAGCAAAATACTTAACCCAGTTAGCAAAATTAACACCGTCATTTTAAAGTTACTCTTGTGCATAGTAAATGCTGCAGGGTGAACTTCACATTGGATAAAGCAGATTTGAAATCAGTTTGCAAGAAAGTGTGCCTCCCTCAACACCAATCTAAACTCAGGAAAATGAGCAGAGGCCCCGCAGCAGCTGCTGGTCTGTGCCTCTCCCAGCTGTGCTAGATCGTCTGGTAGCCGGCATGGCTCCTCTTCCTGCCAATGAGGTAGGCGATGAGGACGATAAGGACCAGCCCTGCCAGGGCACCACCCACGGCGATGGGGATCAGCATGCTGTTCTCATCCAGCTGGCACTCCTCCACTGCAGAAACAGAGGGAGCGTATCATGCTCACACCAACTACCCCCGAACAGGCCTCCCCCTCCTCCTCATCCCTTCCCACAATCCAGCCACGAGGACAGAACAGGACGGGCTCTGATTCTAATCAACTACTGCTTGAACACAATACAGCAAATAGCAGCATTCCCAGACCATGCTTTCACAGGGGAAGATGCAGGCCAGTGCTTAATAGGACCTTTGTTCAAACGCTGCCACGGCTCACATCTGTAAGATACTGGGCCTTCCGCAGGCCAGAGGATTCAGGAAGCGGAATTTGCTCTAAATGATTATATATCCAGACAGAATCACAGCCTGCTGACCCTGCGGAGAGTCTGAAATGCTGCCCTGGGTGCTACTCACCAGACCCAAACTTGTCACCTTGCACCTGGAAAGCCTGGACCCACACTTTGATGATGTTGACAGAAAAGGCTTCTGTGACTTGCACATGCTCCCCGGCGTTACACTTGTACGAATTCCCAATGGTGGCCTGAAGTGCCCTCAGAGAGTTGTTGCCAGCCTTAAAGGTGGGGTCTGCAAAGGCACATACATGACAGTGAGTGCTCTGGGGCACCTGGATGGGCAGGGGAGTGGTGGCGGTCTTACCTCTGGCATCAGGAAGAGTCATATTCAACTGGATTCCTTGCAGGAAAAACCGGCTAGTACTTGCATTCTTAAAGAGAAGGAGAGAATTCTTAGCCGCTTGCCAGATTCACACGTTTACTGTCAAACCTGAAGGGTCATCTGGTAATAAGTCTGACTCCTGTATTTCTAGCTTTAGCATGAAGCTGTAGAGCATGCGGTGTGTAAAAGGCATTGCATAAATCTCAAAACCTAATTTTTACTTCCTTGTAGACTTTTTCTTACAGAATCAGACTCTGCTAAAATAGGGATGAGAAGGAGCCATGTTCCAAGAAAGCAAACTCTTTCCTGATGTTTGCTGAATTTCAGGAATAGAACTTTATTAGAAGAAACCCAACTGTTAATCAGCTCATTTGCAGTGCATACTATAAACGTTCACAGATGGCACTTGTTCTTCCCAGAGGACTTTACTAACATCACAGAGGATTCATCCCAGACAGGTGTATGGAAGAGAAGACCCAGGCCCCAGAGACGCTGCCCCTCAGGAAGGACCCAGAGACGCTGCCGACAGTGCATGAGGCGGGAGGCTGAGCTGAGCACAGCTGCACCGGCCCCAGGCGTTCCCCCACATCCGGTGCATAAAGGAACCAGCCGAGGCATTCCTTCAGGGAAAGAGGATGGGAGGGCTGAGGGTTCAAAACACCAGCAAACAAGGAAGACACAGAAAGCAGACCCCCCCTCCTCAGAAGGCAGAGCTGTAGGTCTTGGCACCTCAATCTGATTTTGACTCCGGCCAGCGCACAGTGCCCTCAGCTCCACCACCGCTGTGCAGCAGACATGTGTGAACAAACAGGAGGAAGAGCCACAGTGAGTGGCAGGCTGAGATGCCAGCAGCTCCCACACTGAAGCCCCCGGAGTACAAACATGGAGCCTCTCACCATCCCAAACTGGAAGGCCAGGAGAGTGACACTCTCGCTGCGGAGCTCCAGGGTCACCAGCTGGGCGCCACAGCTCCCTCCGGCGGTGGTCTTATTCGGGTTGATGCTGACCACTTTCACCACAGTCTAAGTAGGAAAAGAAGACAAGTTATCATGCCCTGTCACACTCCAGGTCCTCTATAGTCTGGAGAAAAAAAAAAGTAATCTTAAAACAGGAACTTCAAGGCCACAATCATTTTAACCAGAAGCAGAAGGGAAGGTCCACACACACTGCATACCCATCACACTCAAGTTCCCCGCACAGCCCTGAGACGTGCGTGGTCCCTGGGAGGTGGCAGTAGTACTTCAAAGGAAAAGCATAAAATGTTGGAATGGTGTATGTTTAAAGCAAAGTGTAATGTTCTTCTGGGGGGGGGGGGTCAGTAAACTCGCCCTTTAGAGTTCTGGCTTTTCAGACCACCCTGCAGCTCTTTGATTCTGTCTTGGAGAAAAGCCACCCTGGTGTGCAGACAGATGGGTATGGCTGTATGCCAGGGGCTCATCATGGAACAGACACCACCACCACCACCACCACCGCGCTCGTGGGCCGACACCCCTACCACAGAAGGAAGGGTCCCTGGAGGCGGAGCCTACCGTGTTGTCCTTCTTCTTGTAGGTGACATTCAGCTGCAGCCCCATGCTGGCCAGGAGGCAGGTCCCGTTGGCACCACTCACGTTGTACTTGTGCACAGAGGGGCTCTCGGGCACTGGGGACGGTGAAGGGTGGGGAGGTGGCGGCGGCACTGTTGTTGGGAAAGGCCCATCTTGCTCACAGCGTGTCTCTGGATGGACAAGTGGGGAAAGAGACAAAGTGAGTCCTCAAACCACCAGGAGCTATGACAACCCCAGCAGACTCAGCTAGCCCCACGTGCAGAATGTGACTTCTCAGTCTGCATGGTTGGATGACAGGTGGCCACCCCACTCTGGAAGTACAAGACAGGTAGGCGCCGCTGTCCCACAGGTGGTCTCCACTCCTGCCCCTGCACCACAGCTCTGACTGGATGCTCTTCCAGCTCAGCATTTCTGCAACCCTGCCTTCACAGATCCATCCCGTTCTGTCTGTATGACAAACCTCCCTTCGTACTGGGAAGTAAAAAAAAACCTTAACTGTCACCTGCTGCTTGGACAGGCAGCCACACACCACTGCAAACGGCAACAATTCAAACCAGTTCTGTGTGGCTGTATACTGGGTCTGGTGCTGGAGGACTCACAGGCTCAGGAGGGACAGCCAGCCCCAGACACACACACTATGACAAAGCTAGTGCCGTCAGCATGGTACCTGTGGGAGAGTAGCCCAGGAGGCCTTTAAAGGTAGGAGCATCAGGTGGGTCCCTGTGAGACAAGACCAGAGCTGAGTCCAGGTACATGAGTGAGCCAGCTGCTGTGGGTTATGTGAAGCAAGATGGGGTGAAGGCACCTACAGGCAGGCACCCTCATGTGGGAAGAAGGTCCAGTACGTGTGAGTGAAGACCCTGGGGAAGGAGGCCACATGGTGGCCCCAGAGGATATACGCTCAGGAGGTTAAATGGGATGCAGGCTCTCAGAATTTACTCCAGTATGAATTGTTTCCAACAAAAACTTACATTTAAAAATCAAGGCAGACCGAACTTAAAGCAAAAAAATGAATGTTCTCTACAGGCGCATACAGGACAGATAGCTGCCTTCTAGGAAGATTCCTTGACATTCGAAAACACCCAGATCCACCACAGCACTTCTAGGAACCACCATCCCCAAACTAAGTTGTTTTACCACCCTGTTTCTGTGGGTAATCGGTAAGTCTAGAACAGCATTTATACAATTTCCATCAAATTCCCACCCTGTCCCCATTTCTGCTGGGCTGAGCCACGGGAGCAGCCCTACCACACCCTGGGCCACAGTGCCTGCCGGGAAGCTGCTATATAACTGCCGGATCAGTTCCTGCTCCAAGCTCAAAGGAAGCTTTGTCACTTCCTCCTCCACATCCCATCTACCTGGGTAGGGGGTCAAGGTGGGGAGAAAAAGAAAAGTTCACCCTACACAGAAGTAATTCCACACACTTTCTGTAATGTTCACTCACACAGCCTGCCTTCACATAATGCTATCCTCTACAGCCAAATGCCTTTCTAGACAGAAGATAAAGATGGAAAAAAGCATGATAGAGTGGGTGTAACCTCGGGCTTCCAGTGGCCACATGGCCCACCCTTCCCCTGGAGCTAAAGCTGCAGAGTAATGTTACAGCTGCCATTTAGAATAGCCTTATCATTACTTTACAAACTGTTACAGAACAGGACACAGTTCAATGCGCAAAATGACGAGAACAGGTGACCTCAAAATCCTGATCTAGATGGGCACACAGCACGCATGGGTGAGGGGGGAGAGTAACCTACACAAATCTGACCAGCAACTGTACACACAATCTACAGTTTTCATATAACAGGCTGCAAAGCGTCAGCCTTAGAGCACAATGTACGGTCAGAACTGTGGAAATCTGCACAGACCAAGCGCCCTCCCCCCACTGAACTGCAAACGCATAGTCTGCACTCTAAGCACCCTGTCCCCAAGGCAGAAATGACAGTCCTACTTGCAGAGTGCTCAGCCCACAAGGAAATCATCAGTAAAATGCATGCATGTGCTAAGTGCCATCCATGCATGTGAGGCTGCCTCTGGGAAGACCAGGGACCCCAGGAAAACGCAGGCTCAGCGCATCCATCCATGATTCCTCATGTGATTTTCAAAAGCTTCTGTGCCCTGAAGGCCCCAAATGGTGTGCCAGCAGCCGACCTTCAGGTAAACGTGTGCTACAGTCAGAAAGTCCCCCAGGAGAGAGGCACTTTAGTAGCAGCTCATGCTCTGCGTCACCCTGGGAGTCATCCCTAAGGCAGAGATGCTGGCTAGCCAGGTGCTTGCTAGCCAGGGGGCTCTCCAGAAATCACACCCCAGGTTCACAGGGAGGTACCAATGGAATATACTAACAGCTGAGCTTCAACACGGTTCAGGTCGTGTCATCAACTATAGCTGACCCCTCAATAACACAGGTTCAGGAGCTGACCCCTGCCAGTCAAAAATCCATGTTAACTTCAGACTCCTCTCAAAACTTACATTAAAAACCTATTGTTGACCAGAAGCCTTACCAGTAACAGCCCACTAACAGGCATCTTGTATATTATGGGTATTATATAGTGTATTCTTAAAAAGAAGATAGAAAAAAAATATATTTATGGTACTGTACTGCATTTACTGAAACACATCCACATGTAAACAGACCCACACAGCTCACACCTGTGTTGTTCAAGGATCGCTGTCGTACTTTCTGGGAACAGTGCGGCCCTTGCCCATACAGCAGACGCCCATTCTGGAGCTCCTCCCCACCCACACAGTTGCTTGGAAAACTCCCCTATCACTGAACATGGACCCAGGCCACCAGAGGACCACATCCCAGAAAATACAGAAGACATCACAGGTGTGGGTGTGAGTGTGTAGCAGGGGGATGGGTGTGCAGGGGGAAGGGGAGCCCCTGGAGCTCAGGGTACAGATTTGTTGTTTGCTGATTTCATTTCTTAGCACTCCAGGTAAAGGCTGATCAGGGGTGACTTCAGAGGAAGTGACCCAATAGTGACAGGATCCCAAAAGCCCTATGGGGACTCCTTCCTGCCCAGTGAAGAGTATGTAGGTGTACCATGATCTCACCAAGCCTTCCAGCCTGTCACACGGGCATGCCAATTTGTATAGGACATTCTGTGCAATTCTGCGTTGCCACTTAACCTCCTCTTCCCAGCAGATTCACTAAGAGAGCGCTCTCGTGTCTTTAAAAAGCAAGTTTCCTTTCCAAACCACAGACATATCAGTAGAAGCAGATTTAACATAAAATGAAAGCAAGCTTTGATGACAGGAACAACCATAGGACACAAGGGGAGGTGGAGAGTGAGGCTGAGCTTAGGGATCAAGGTTCTGGTCAACAACTCACAGAACAGAGCAAGTAGCTGCCCATGACACACTCAAAATAATCCACCCTCAGTTAACCCTCATAGGATGTGAACAGTCCTCTGATAAGGGGGGGCCAGCGGCTGGGACACGGGTGTAGGGAGGGACCAACCTTATGGAGGTATCTTTTCTACTTGAATCACACACATATGTCCCCCACTGGGAGTAATGCGTGGGATGCTAACAGTGAAGGGCTATGTGCATGTGGGGACAGGACTATGTGGGAATCCTGTGCCGTGTTTAACTGTGAACCTAAAACTGCTCTGAAAGATAAAATCTATTTAAAAACCAAAATAATTAGCTTTCAAAGAAATTAGCCTCTCCATTGTCACATGAAATTTTAGACCAGAAGCTGGAGCCCTATGTCAGGCTCCAGCACCTTCAGTAACTCCACCAGCCAGGCACCACACCACCTGGGGAACCCAGACAGGGAAGACCAGGTCATCTATGTCTGGGTCCAGCAGCTTTCCAAGCAGAAGACAACAAGTCATAAAGATGAGGAGCTATATACTCCATGACCACCCTGAGGCCCAGGTAGCGGAGGTCACTGTGCCAAGCTAGCAAACCAGGACGCTCATTTCCCAAGGTCCTTAGCAGTTTTTGCTTTTCCCTTCTGCTCCAGGCTGGACGGAGACTATTGGGGATGAAACCTAGCTACCCAGATATCTGCAACCGTGAGCATCAGCTCCTGCTGCATTTGGTGTGACTCTGACCACTCCCAGTCACTCCTTGCCTGAGAAGGCAAGTGTCAATGTGCACACTCAGGCCTGCTGACTGACATGCACACACACAGCTCCCCAGAAAAGGGTGGTGTAGAAAGGCCAGTCCAGCCAGTCTCCTCGAGAGCTGCTCCAGCTCACACAGACCTACCCTTACACCCTGTACACTTGCTGCTGGACGTGTCTTTCCCAGTTACAGACGGCAAACATTTTAGACCTTGTGGCTGTGCAGGGCCTGTGCCATCTCGGCTCTGCTACGGGAGTGTGACAGCAGCCACAGAAACAGATGTATGAATGAATGTGTGCTAAAGAAACTCCATTATGGGCACTGAAACTTGACTTTCATGTAATTATCATGTGCTGTGAAATGTTCTTTTGACTTTTCTTAACCTTAAATTGATAAAGCATAACATCCATTTTTAGCTTACTGGCCTTACAGACAGCAGAGGCGGACTAGATGGCACCTGCAGGCCAGCTTCTGGCCCCACTAAGAGCCACATGCCTCTCAGGACGCCTGTACCCAACCACACAAAATGCTAACTGGTCCATCGTGCCCCTGAGCACCAGTGACTTGGTGCAAATCAGTCACATGCCAGCAGGCACCTGAGTGTTCCAGACACACCACCGGGGATATGGCAAACTAAAGCTCATAAGAGCACAGCTAAACACCGAGGAGAAGGGACAACTTCCTTGAGGTGATCATCCCCTTCACCCTTCAGGAAAAGGACGGTGATCTGTGAGCTCACTGGCAGGCTGAGAAAGTCCTAGCTGAATGACAACATTCTTTGCTACTTACTGAGCCAGGCCCTGACATAAGCACTTTGCATAAATTTCTTTTTTAATTGCAAGGACCTGCTAACACAGGCTATCATCCTTACTTTCCAAGGTAACAAGAGGCTGACCACCTTTCCCAAGGCCACAGAGCAAGGAGGAGCCTGGAGCCCAGAACCCACCAATGGAGCTGGGCTGGCAGGTGCCTCCCTGGTGGATCATGAGCCCCCAAAAGACACTCAAGGTCCTGCCATCATCTTCCCCTGGGCTTGCCAAGCTCGACAGAGATAAATATAGGTCTTGGGGAGAAGACCCGAGTTGGTTTGAACTGGAAGAGAGCCTACCACCCTGACCTCATTGGCTTCCCAAAAAGGAATTAAAATGCTTTGCCCTTCTATCCCTTTTAAATCAGTATCTGTCCAACCTCACCTAAAGAGACCACTTTCTTTAAAGAGGAAGTTCTAAATGAGAGCTGCCAGTTCAGCTTCTCCACGTCTTCCTTGGGCCTGGGCACCTGGGTCAAAGGCAGCGTCCTACCTTCCTTGCTGAAATTACTGTTGGCAAGGTACGCCTGGATCGTGACATCACGGAACGTGACAGTGACATTGTGCATGTGGATCTGGGTGTTGCTCACACATCTGTATTTTTTATTTATGTCTGCCCTGATGTCAGTTGCAGATTCCACAGTCTTGGTTTCTGTATTAAAAAAAAAAATCAATTTTTAACTTAGGTAAAAATTTTAGACACTCTCCAACTGAATTTTCTTAATTTTATAACTAGTCATTTCATTTTTGGTTCTTACCCTTGGAGCTTGCATTGGGGAAAATCTGTGTGTCAGACAAGTTATAAATAAAACTCATCAGCTGAACACTGTAACGTGTTGCATTTCTTGTGAAATTGAGGGTCAGCCCATGTCCTTTTCCAAAAGCGATCATGAGACTGGGGTCAGAAGTGTTCTCTTTACCACAAGAGCTGCTATTTAATACCACTGCATCAGACGGCAGGTCGAAGGTTACATTCTAGAACAAAGGACAACAGACCCAGTCAGGATGCAGGTCATGAAAGGGATTCAGATGTGAGAAAGAAAGAAAAGAAAGAAAAGAAAGAAAAGAAAGAAAGAAAGAGAAAGGAAGGAAGGAAGGAAGGAAGGAAGGAAGGAAGGAAGGGAGAGAGAGAGAGAGAGAGAGAGAGAGAGAAAGAAAGAAAGAAAGAAAGAAAGAAAGAAAGAAAAAGAAAGAAAGAAAGAAAGAAAGAAAGAAAGAAAGATGTGCCAAAAAAAGACCTTCAGGAAGTCAGACCTCAGCTCCTTCTCAGAAGCCACCATTAGTATATTAATTTTTTAACGTAAAATTGTATACAAATACAAGGAAAATCAGTACATGTTGATACAGATTGAAAAAGTGTTAAAGGCAAAGCTGACAGTTACTCAAATCATTAAACATTCTTCATTAACATAATTTTAATTTATAACATAATTAAAACTAAAGTTATCTCGGTAAACAATTCTCATCAGGCTTCAAGTAAAATGTGTATATTTGAAAAGCCATTACTAGTTGTTTGCTATAAAAATCTTTAAGGAACATGCCTTTTATGGGACAGATGGTAGCTACATGTATAGTGAGCACAGCATAACGTGTAATCTTGTCAAATCACAAAGCTATAGCCTGAAAATGACATAGTTCTATTTGTCAACTGTACTTTAAAAAGTCTTTAAACAAAGAACCAGGGGCAGCCGGGGTGGCTTAGCGGTTTAGCGCCACCTTCAGCCCAGGGTGTGATCCTGAAGACCTGGGATCGAGTCCCACATCGGGCTCCCTGCATGGAGCCTGCTTCTCCCTCTGCCCATGTCTGTGCCTCTCTCTCTCTCTGTGTGTCTCTCATGAATAAGTAAATAAAATCTTAAAAAAAAAGAACCATTTGAAAAAAAATTATTTTATTTTTAAAGATTTTACTTACTTATTCATGAGAGACAGAGGGGGGGGGGGCAGAGGCAGAGGGAGAAGCAGGCTCCAGGTAGGGTGCCTGACGTGGGACTCGATCCCGGGTCTCCAGGATCACACTCTGGGCTGAAGGCGGCGCTAAAACGCTGAGCCACGCGGGCTGCCCCAAAGAACCATTTGAACTGACCACTACAAAACCACCTCAAGAGCACCAACATGACCTGAACCCACTAATGAAAACACAGAGATAGTGTACCCTAATGCTGCTCCCAAGAAATGACAGAGCTCAGGATGCCTGGGTGGCTCAGCAGTTTAGCACCTGCCTTTGGCTCAGGGCATGATCCTGGATTCCCAGGTTCAAGTCTCACATCGGGCTCCCCGCATGGAGCCTGCTTCTCTCTCTGCCTGTGTCTCTGTCTCTCTCTCTCTGTCTCTCATAAATAAACAAATAAAAATCTTTAGGAAAAAAAAAAAAAAGAAATGACAGAACTCCACAAGGTGACAGAGCTATGGTGATAAAGAGTAAGGTACACAGCAGCATGTGGGTGATCCCATTTGTGGAATATAAATTTTTTTTTTTGTTTTGTGGAATATAATTAACATATATCAAGATGACATGAAAAGAAAAAACCCCAAACACAGAAAAAGCAATGACCACAAAAGGTGTTTGGACTTATTTCTGTAACCTGAGAGCTTCTGTGGGATAACCGTCCCAGGCCTCTGCCACCTCAGGTACAGCCACATACACGTGGAGACCAGCACACACAAGCAGATGAGGCCTAAGCACCTGGCACAAAGTCCTGAGGGCTCTGAATGCCGGACCCCACTGCTGCCCTGAGCGGTGGTAAGATGATCTAATGCTGTCAGAGGAGGTGTGGAAGGAAACATGGTAGTCTAAACAAAGAACTGCAAACATTCAGTTTAGAGATTTGTTCAAATCTCTCAGTGAGGGCAGCCCTGGTGGCGCAGCGGTTTAGCACCGCCTACAGCCTAGGGCGTGATCCTGGAGACCCTGGGTCGAGTCCCAAGTCAGGCTTCCTGCATGGTGCCTGCTTCTCCCTCTGCCTGTGTCTCTGCCCCGCCCCCCGCCCCGTGTGTGTGTGTGTGTGTGTGTGTGTGTGTGTCTCTATGAATAAATAAATAAATAATCTTAAAAAAAAAAAATCTCTCAGTGAAATGCCCACAGATAGTTAACAAAGAAAACAATGCAAATGCAGCTTATGTGTTAGAAATCTACAAATGCAAACAGCCTTTTTTATCCTGTGGTAGTACAAGTTGTTTTAAGAAAGCTGGGAGCCATCGGAGGACAGTGCTTGCAGATGTCAGGGCAAACTGCAGACAGAAGAGATACAGTCACACAGCTGTGCCCAGAGCCTGAGAGTAAGAGACGGCCGGGGTCCCAGGAGAGGCTCTAACACATCAGGCTGCCCGCACAGGGAGGGCTGCATTGTGACCACAGAAGAAACTCGTGCAGAAGTCTGGGACAATGCTCCTACCAGACAGTGAAAGTAGATAACAGAATGGTCTACACATCTTGACTGCCGCTTTAGGGTACACAGGGACACAGGCAGCTGACAAGCCCAGCGGGGCACATGCATATATGCATATGTGAACCCCATTACAGTGAGGTCCTTTTCCAAACATTTCAAATAATAATAAAAAAATCTTCACACACACACCACACATTGTATGAAGGACCCAGTGTTTCCTACCTTAGGACCGCTCCTGGTTTCATAGCTCGCCAAGAAGGCAGCCGAGAAGTTAGCCATGATGCAAGCCGTCCCGTTGGCATCCTTCACCACAAACACTGCTGCTGCGCCATGTACGAGGCCTGCTAACTCCAGGAAAGACAGAAATATCCAAACACATTTTTGAAAATACAACTGAATGCTTCTGTTGTCTCTAGCTATGGCAATAATGGGCTTTATTAGGAAATACCACCTGCTTCTTAAAAGAATGAGATAGAAGGATTACCAAGGCTGGGTTCAGATAGATCCTCTGTCCTGTTCCTGCTAGATACAATTCTGGAAATGTTAACTCTAAACCCATTGATTACAGTTTGCCAATCTGGTCGACAGCTCTTTCATGCTTGATGTCAGGACACTGATGGGGAAGTCACATGTCAATTTCCAGGTCATCCCTAGGCACAGGTTGCTCCACACTCAGTCCTCAGAGGACCTCTGGAAGATGTGCTAGGGTTCTGGAGGCACAACTCAACCTAAATACTGACCTTCTACAGAAGCCCATGGGAGAACTGGTGGTATCTCTAAAGTAGGATTTCTTGTTACCTCTTGTGGACTGCTGGCCTGGCAAGAAAAGCCATGCACGCATGGATCTGAGCTCTTTGCCCAATTTCAGAAAGGTTTTCAAAAAACAGTGATTGGATCGAACCTGGACTTGGCTTTGTGATGTTAGGACATCAGTCAACATGTCTAGATAGGATTGCTGTATCTCTGAAGGAAGGGACAGAATGAAGCTCTCATAGGTCCCTCCAGCTTGACAGCAATGGTAGCTATTTCCTCCTTAAATTCTCAGGGTCAGTGCCATCTCTGGCTTCGTGACATCCAACAGCCCTGAGCAGGTTAGCAAATCTAATCTGACCACTGTGGTAAAGCAATAGGTAATTTTTCCAAGCCACACGTGTTACTACACTCTTTTTTTTACAGATGGGCAAAAATAGTTGTTTTCACTAGTTCTACAGCCAAACAGCCATCAGCCAGCACCACGTACTAGAAGGTTCAGATGTGATGTGCCCTCCCCCGTGTGCCGTTGCCAGTCCCCTGCACGCCCTTTAGTCATGCTCCGACCACTCTGAGTGTAAATATGACACGGGCCAAATGCTCAGGAGACACTCCATTAACTTTTCATTCTAAAATCCGTGTCCCTAGCAAAATAAACGACTCCCAACGAGTCCAATTCATTTTACCCTTGGAACTTTCACAAAATAAAATCTTTAAAGCCAACTACTATAAGCATAAAGCAAAAAAGTAGCCAGAAACCTCATATAGTTTCCCATAAGCTTCTGGTATGAGAGATACCAAAACCTATGTTCATAAACAGAAGCTGCTGCACCAGAAGGAAGCAAACTAGGGCAAGTAAGAAACCTGTGTAGTTTGTCTGTTTTGCTTTGCAAAATTTTAACCTATACCCCAAAATATTCAGGCAAGACTACACCTCAGGCAACTCTGATAAATGAATTTCCATTATAAAACCTACAAAAAATTCCACACTGTTTCTGACTCATTAAAGGTTTTTTTTTTTTTTTTAAAAAAAAAAAAAACAACAAATTATCCTCATGCCTTCAGGGAGGGACAAGTTAAGTGTACCTGGGGTCCAGAGAGATGCCAGCAAGGCCAAAGCATGTTCAGCAGGCAGAAGCACGTGTGTTAAAGCATGGGCACTGCAGCCAGAGAAACACTGGACACCAACCCAGATCATGTGTACATGGGCTAGTACAGCTCCGGTCACCGGCTCTCTCAGGCCCGAGATGCCCTCACATGGCTGTGGCCCTGGCCCGGCTGCTGCAGAGTCCTATGTGATTGCACATGCCATGGACACAGTCGGCTGCTGCCTCACATGGGAGCATGCACATCAGCTTTCACCAAGCTGCACTTCTATAAATGAGTTCCCTAAATCATTAAAACACTTTCTGCTGACTCAAAACACTTCATTAGGAAATATTTCACATTAAGTAACTTTTCAAAGGCAGAATTCTTTCACTTAGTAAACATGCTGAAGATATGAGCCTTCAGGCATTACCAAAACGAATTTAAAGTAAATTTTACCAGCACTAGAAACCTACAGTTATTCTGGAAAGACCCAGAAATTTTCTATTGTTATAACAAGAAACAGCCCCAGAAGCCAAATTCTGGTCAAGAGGAAGAGGTCTACAAAAGCATTAGAACGTAAAATTATAAAAGAAATGTGTGTATGCTAATAGAATTTTTTTTTTTAAGACTTAAAAAAAATTGGGGATGTCTAGGTGGCTCAGCGGTTTGGTACCTGCCTTCAGCCCGGGGCATGATCCTTGAGTCCCGGGAACAAATCCCATGTCGGGCTCCTTGCATGAGGACTGCCCTCTGCCTGTGTCTCTGCCTCTCTCTCTCCCATGAATGAATGAAGTCTTTTTTAAAAAAAATTAAAAAAAAAAAAAGAAAAAAATTAAAAAAGAAAAAGATTTTTAAAAAATTATTCGTTTTAAAGACAGAGAGAGCACGCATGAGCAAGGTGAAGGGAGAGAGGGAAAGGGAGAAGCAGACTCCACGTTGAGCAGGGAGACCAATGCGGGACTCCATCCCAGGACCCAGAGCCAAAAGCAGATGCTTAACCAACTGAGCCACCCAGTGGCCCCTAATGGTCTTAAGTTGTTTTTTTTTTTTTTTTTTTTTAATTCTCTAACACTGATAGCTAAGAAGAAAAAAACCTCTCTTTTGAATTAAAACGTTGCAGTGACTTGAGGAGTGGGTGTCCCTTTTCAAAGCTAGGCTCCCTGACCTGCTGGCAACGGCTAATCTCAAGCAGTCCTTCACACAAGCACAACCTTGATCATCTCTCCAGGGATCACGTAAAGGAGTAACTTTGGCTTATTCCTTCAACGTACTCCCACTGGTAGAAATTCCAAGTACAGCTGTGAGAAACATGCCTGGTTCTATGACAGACCCCTCCATCACTTAGTAGTTGTGTGACCTCGGGCCAGTAGATATCGCTGCCCTCAGTTTAGGTGCCTATGAACTGGAACAAGTGTGCTGACGCCCTGGGGCTATTAGAGGATCAAATGAGCCAGTGCAGAACACTCAGTACAGGGCATTAGCACTGGCTTTAATACTCGCTGATATATTTTTTTAAGATTTTGTTTATTTATTCATGAGAGAGAGGAAAGGGTGGGGAAGAGACACAGGCAGAGGGAGAAGCAAACTCCCCACAGGGAGCCTGATGCAGGACTCGATCCCCAGACCCTGGATCACCACCTGAGCCAAAGGAAGACGCTCAACCACTGAGTCACCCAGGTGCCCTGATCATGTTATTTTAAATAGAACTGTTCAGACCTCACCTACCAAGTTCATCACTGAATCCTCAGTACCTGACACAAAACATCAAGTATTTTAACAAGCGCTTGCTATGCGCCAGGTCCTGCTCCAAGCACTTTGTAGTTAACTAAATTATCATGACGACCTCCACAGGTAAATGCTATTATGATTCCTTTGTGCAGCTGTGGAGACAAAGGGACGGACAAGAACGTTAACTTGCTCAAGGTCACAAAGCCAGTGAATGGTGCTGAGCAATCTGGAATTGGATGACACATCTGAACCGTGCTTTCTCTCTAACACTTGCTGAGTGAGCAAACATACTTCAAATTATGAAAGACTCACTTTGAAATGAAGAGACTGCCATCTAAAGGAACGAGTCGATAAACTTCTACATTAAAATTTTTATAAGAGGGGGCTCCTGGGTGGCTCAGTCTGCCTTTGGCTCAGGTCATGATTCCAGGGTGCTGGGATCAAGTCCTGCATTGGATTCCCTGCTTGGTGTGAAGTCTGCTTCTTCCTCTCCCTCTGCTCCTCCACCTTGCTCGTGTATGCTCTCTCTCAAATAAATGAATAAAATCTTCAAATAATTTTTTTTTTCAAAAATACTTCCTAGTTTGTCTTGGCTTCTTTTAAATCCAGTATTTTTCATCTTAAATGGTAATGCATAATCATCTACGAAAATTTAAAGGTAGGAGAACAACAACAACAACAAAAAAAAGACCTAAGTTCATCCCTCACATAGACTCACCAGCTTTAGAAGCAGGGCTCAGTGTGGACACTTCTAAAGAGCTGACGTATGCATATCTGATTAGGGATTGTCGCTGTCAAACTGGGCATCCACATGTACGCACTGAGCACTTACTATGTATGTGCACAGGATGGGGTGTAAGATAAGAGAGAGACTCCTGTGTACAGGTTATCACGGCACAACTGAAATGATGCTCCAGTAAAAGCTCAAGCTACATATGCATGCAGTCAAGTCCCATGGATGCAGAGAAAAGGGAGCACCTAACAACAGAGGTTGAAAATCATGGACCCCAAACATTTTGACCCAAATATAGTTAAGAATTCGGTCACCGACCCAAGTAACTGACAAAGGTCCCACAATCATGAATACTACTAAATAGAATAAAACTCTCCCAACATCCTAAGTGACAGTTCTTCATTTGGAAAGGGGAAGGAAATCATCTAGTCGACACCAGTGGTTTAAAGGGTCACATTACGCAATGACACTTAATCCTAAATGCTGGCCAATTTCAGTTCACTCTCGCCTGTGCTTTCTACCAAATATTCCAACACAAACTAATCTTTAAGAGTCATCCAATTATTAACGCAGGTAAAATCAATAGTTTCCATGTCTGAAAAAATTTGTTTTTAGAAAAGATGCTTCTTGGTAAAATAAAGAATCAAAATAAACATTATTTTTAAAAGGCCTACATCCAAAAAAATTTTTTTTAAAGATTTTATTTATTTATTCATGAGACACACACACACACACACACACACACACACACACACAGGCAGAGACACAGGCAGAGGCAGAGGGAGAAGGAGGCTCCACGCAGGGAGCCCTACGCGGGACTCGATCCCGGGTCTCCGCGACCAGGCCCTGGGCTGCAGGCGGCGCTAAACCGCTGCGCCACCGGGGCTGCTCCCCACATCCAAATTTAAAATCTCTTCCAAAAGTTGGATTTCATCGGACTGTACAGCCTAAAAAATCCTCCCAAAGGAACAGGCATTAAAAGGCTCACAGCACGCACACTGCTCCCAGCTATCTCAATGCAGGAAATCAAGCCCGTTTCTCCGCACTTTGAAAGTGAGTCTTAAAACCTAAAATACGAGAATTCTTAGTGAATTCTTCCAGTAAGAACGGTGCTGCCGTCCTGACCTGACACCACGTGTCCGAGCCGTTCCTCCTCTAAATAACTTCAGCTGCCGGGGAAGGGCAAAGCTCGGGGTTTGCTGCCCGGGTTTAGGTCTCCGTCCCTCGTGGCTCGTCACGCAGTTCAGAAAACTGACTTTACGCGGACAGGCAGGACAGGCAGGGCAGAGCCGCGACACCAGAACCCATCCGGTGGCCGCGAAACTCCAGAGCTGGGAGGCAGGGGGCCGGGCGGTATGCGCGGCGCGGCGCGGCGGGCGGGCGAGGCGAGGCGAGGCGAGGCGAGGCGAGGCGCGGGCGGCCCCGTGCCCCAACCGGAGGGGCTCCCAGGGGTCCGCCCGGGCCTCCGAGCAGGCCCACCGGGACACGGAGCGACCCCTCCTCCTCCCTCCCCCTCCTCCACACACACACACACACACACACACACACACACGCACACGCGCGCGGCAGGGGCCGCACAGCGCCGCGGGGCCTCCCGAGCCTGAGCGCGGCCGCTGGGAGGCGAGGCCGGCCCTGCCCCTCCCGGCCCACCGCGGCGTCCGCACGCCCGGCCGGACTCCCCTCCGCGGCCCTCGGTGACAGCAGGCCACCCGGGAGGGCGCACGGACCACGCGGGCGCCGAGAACAAGCCGCGGCTGCCCCGAAATCAACCAACCACGAATCTTTCGACTCCTCGCCCAGGAAACCAGCCCAGGGACCCGACCACCGAACCGGCCCTCGGCCGACAGCTCGCCCCGGCGCTTCCCACAGCGGCCAGAGGGCTCCGCGCCAGACCCCGGGCGCCACCTCTGCCGCCCCCCGCCCCGCAGCCCTGCCGGGCCCCTCAAGCCGTCAGCCTCCCCCCCCCGGCCCCTCACCGAGCAGCAGCAGGAGCAGAGGCCGCGGCCGGGCACCACCGAAGGCCGCCATGGGCGCGACGGCTGTCGAGGCCGGAGCGGGAGCCGGGCGGGTCGGGGCGGTTTGACCGCGGGCCGGGGGGGGGGGGGCGGGCGCCGGAGGCGGGCGGGCCGGGGGGCTGCGTGAGGAGGGTGACGGTCCCGCGGCCCAGAGACCCGGCCGCTGCGGCGCCCGCGGCAGGAAGGAGATCCTTCGGCCGGCGGCGCCCGTCACGTGAGGCCGCGCCGCGCCCGCGCTGTCACGTGACCCCGCGAGTCTCGCGAGAGCACAGGACTCGACGTCCCCGCCGAGGCGAGCGCTCGCCTCTCACGTGACGCGGAGGCACGTGACCGTGGTGCCACGTGATGCCAGGCGGGCTTCCTCAGCCTGGGGAGGGATCGCGGGGAGGCTGGGGCTGGGCGTCGGCGCCGAGGGCGGGTGCGAGGGAGGGTCCCTCTGCGGCTCCCGGGCGTTGGCGGGAGGAGGAGACGGGCGTGCCCGTGAGAGGGCGGCTGTGTGCCGAGGCCTGCAGCCGGAGAAGCCGCCCCGGGGACGCAGCGAGGCCTACCTGGGGCTGCCCTGGGCGGCCGACCCGCGGCGTGTGCGGCTGAGAGGGGGCGGCTCGGGACCCGGACGTGCATGCCCGCGAGATAAGCTGGGGAGAGGGCTTCGGGGCCCCGGGGGCTGCGGTGACCGCTGGGTCACCCCCTCAGGGCCCCGTCGGGCCGGGGCGGGGGCAGCGGGGGCTCCGCTGCGTCTGGCCCGCGCGTCCCTGCGCCCGGGGGCCCCGGAGCCCCCTCCGCGGCGTGCCTGGGGGCTCCCTGGGTCTGGGCTCCGACACGGTCCCCTCGCCTCGGCCACCTCCAGCCGTGGCAGCCGCGAGGGTGCACGGCGCCCCTCCTTCCTCCTCCCCCGTCCTCCTCCCTCCTGCTCTTGTCCCGCGCGTCAGGGCTCAGCCCCTGGGAGGCGTCTCTTGAGGGTCTCCGGCGCAGATCCGGTGACCGCTGCCCGTCACTGTCCCGACCGGTGCTCGATTGCCCGCAAGGGTTAGGTCCACTTGCTCCGAGTAAACCGTGCAGCTTCCCGGCCCCGGACCCGGGTTGGCTCTGCAGTGGGTCCCCCGCCGGCCCCAGACCCCGTGCTAAGGCACGTTTCTCTTCACTCCTGTGCACGGGGCCGGCTCGGAGTTAGCAGCTCCTCGACTCCTCGTGCGTTCGTTGCTGTCGTGCCGATAATAGTGACTCGCAGGTTTCTCCCCGTGAAGAAGGAAGTGACAGCGGAGAAGAGGGAGGTGAGAATGCAGCCCGTGATGCTGGGGCTGGAAGGTGCCTAAGTTCTCCGGAGGTGGACGGTCACGGAAGCCTGCCCGGCACACACGGCGCCCGGCGTTCACTACGCCTTACAGTTGGTGCATGCGCCCCCGGCGGCCGTCCAGGGCGTGACCTTTCCCCTGCCTGCCCGTTTATCTATCACACGGGCCGGGGCGTTTGCTTCTGTTTCTGTCTCAGTGAAGTTAGCCGTCGTGTCGCTTTGCCCGAGGACTGGCTGGCCGTCGCCAGCCCGGGGAGGTCTGCCGGTGCAGGGCCTGCCAGGGCGCGGGCGCTCCGTGCGCACTCGGGGTCGCAGCTGGGTCCCTGCCACCTCCCGGCTCGCATCTGCTATGCGGGGACAAGACTCTTCACTTCTCTTTCTCAGTTCTCCTGTCCCTTACCTCAAGAGTATTTATTTGGGGTCCATTAACGGCACAAAAGGCAAGTAAATCGTGACTGAAAAGCATAAAAGTGTAAGTTGTAGGAGAAGTCAATGAGTAACACGTCAGTCAGCAAGGAGAACCGTCAACTTTCAAGTGAAACGTGCTCACGAGAGGGGAGCAGGGAGACTCCTGTCCCGCAGCGCTCATGGAAACCAGTGCTCTCCTTTAGGACACTGAGACCACCAGGACTGGCTCCTAGTTTAGAACAACGTCCTCGAGAACGCCCTCTCTGCATGTCTCCTGCACCTCTCCAAGTTCCTTTCCAGAGATTCTTTGAAATGCCCCAGCCACAGCAGTCTTCCTTTTAGATGGTTATGAAAAAGGAACTCACAAAAAAAAAGAACTAAGACTTTCTTGGAAAGCAGAGTAACTCACACAGTCCCAAGTCATTTACAGCAGGAATAAGTGTGTAACTTCAATTAGGCTCAAGTTCCCAAGGACATGCTCACCAGGTCGCAGTCTGTGGGCGTGGGGCTGGGGGTGAGGCTACCTAGGCCTGTGCTTGTTTGGGAAATGAAAGATGGTTAAAGAGCCTTTCCCCATAGCAGGAGACACAATGGGAACTGAAATCAACACAAAGATATTTCCACATTTGTCACTCGTGAGAATGGTCAGAGGGAGTGGGTCACAATGCAGGACTGCACGTTCACCCTTGCACTACTGAAGGACTTTTGCATTGTTCCCTGCAAAGCTGTGATGAACATTCAAAACCACATTTCTGAGCGAACAATGCTTTTGTTTCTCATGGGTCAATACCTCAGAATGGAAAAGCTGGTTCATAAGGGCGTGCGTGTTTAAGAAGGAGCCGTTGGACACTTTTTCTTTTTTTTTTCCTTCCTTCCTTCCTTCCTTCCTTCCTTCCTTCCTTCCTTCCTTCCTTCCTTCCTTCCTTCCTTCCTTCCTTCCCTCTTTTCTTTTTTCTTTTTTCTTGCTTTCTTTCTCTCGAAAGATTTTATTTATTCGAGAGAAGCAGAGACACAGGCAGAGAGTGAAGCAGGCTCCCTATGGGGAACCCGATTTGGAACTCGACCCCAGGACCCTGGGATCATGACCTGAACTGAAGGCAGACGCTCAAACACTGAGCCACCCAGGGATCCCCATGGGACATTTTTCCATAAAAGTTGTACTATCGTCCATCCACAGTAACATCCTCATCAATACTTGGCATCACCAGTCTTTCCCACAGCTGTGTGATTCCATCTCATTGTGACTAGTTTGCATTTTCCTGAGGACTAGCAAGATGAAGAGGTCCTTTCATGGGCTCGTCACCATTCACCTATCTTTAATTATGTGTTCAAACTTTGTTCTAATTTTTAAGAACGGTTTATTGCTTTCTTGAATTCTAAGTCTTTTCTAAATATATTCTGAATATACTACTTTGCAGTATTGTCGTATTTTTCCCATGATGTGGCTTGCTATTTCTTAATATCTTTCGAAAAGCAAGCTTTACATTTAATTAAAATCTAGTTTACCAGGATTTCTTTCATGCTTCATGCTTTTTCTTTTGTTCTAAGAAATCTCTGCATTTCCCAGTATCATAAGGATTTTCTCCTATGTTTTCTTTTTTTTTCCTCCTATGTTTTCTTCTAGTTTTATGGTTTTAGCTTCTACAGTTGGGCCTATGATCAAATTAAATTTTGCAGATGGTGTGAGAAAAAAATCCGTGTTCATTGCCCCCATCTGTGGCATATGGATAGCTCTTTGATAAAGAGACTAGTGTTAGCCTTAAATTCCCTTGGTATCTTTCCTGAAGTGACTCCACTGCACACAGTGGTGTGTGGTGGGGCTCTCTGCTCCATATCCTTCATCTGTGTCACTGTCTCTGGCTTCACAGCAGGTCTCTAAACTAGGGAGGGGTCGCTCTACAGGTGTTCTTTTACAAGTTGTTTTGAGTTTGCATGCACATTCTGAGATGAGCTGATCATTTTCTACAAAGGAAAACCCTGCTGGAATTTTGGTGAACATTGGATTTAATGCACATAGCAGCTCGGAGAAAACAGACAGCTTGATGACACAATGCTGCTCTGTTTTATTCTTTATGTGACTCTCAGCAATGCTTTGTCGCTTCCAGTGCCCGTGTTTGTGTGCAGGTGTAACATGTCTTTCACACATTTCCAGATACTGTTGTGAATGGGGCTCCATTCAATACTCTGTTCTGGAGTATTTTTGTGGAAAGATTTACAATGACAGGATCATCTATTTTGTGTTTCTTCTCGTGTCTATCTGAATAGCTTGTGAATCTCGTGAGATTCGGTTGTGCCAGCGAAGCCATAGAATTTACTGGTGTAAACCGACTCACAGCCTTCTCCGCAGGACTTGTAACTGTGTCCTTTCAGTCCTGGTTTTGATAACTTTTGTTTCCTCTCCTTTTAACCAGTCTGGCTACAGGCTCGTAGGGTCTGTGGGTCTTCTCTAACTGCTTTTCTAATTTCTACTTTATTTCCTTCCATTTACTTTGGTTTTAAGTGGCTCTTCTGTTTCTAGTTTTTGAAAGTGGATGCTTATGTCACTGTTATTAAATTTTCACCTTCGGGATCCCTGGGTGGCGCAGCAGTTTAGCGCCGCCTTCAGCCCGGGGCATGATCCTGGAGTCCCGGGATCAAGTCCCGTGTCAGGCTCCCTGCATGGAGCCTGCTTCTCCCTCTGCCTGTGTCTCTGCCTCTTTCTCTCTCTCTGTCTCATAAATAAATAAAATCTTTTTTTTTAAAGGTCAGGTTGGTGGATCATAGCTCATATTTTTCCTGGTTTTCTGTTTATCAAGTACTGAACAAAGCATTGAAGCCTCCGACTACAAACACGGATCTGTCTGCTGCTGCTCTTCTCAGTTCCGCCGGATTTTGCTCCGAGCCTCCTGAGACTGTTACTTACTTAGATGCCTGCACATTCACAGTTAAGTCTGGCAGATGCACCCATTCTTCTTCTGAAGTGAGCTCTTAGTCTCTGGAAGTACACCTTGTCTTGGGTGCTGCTTGGTATGAATGAGGCCACTATTGATTTCTTGACTAGTTTTCCTGGTAGATCGTTTTTCATTATCTTACCCCGTGTTTTTGTATTTAACATGCCTGTCTGGTGGGTGATGGAGATGTTGGTCTTAGTTCTCTGCTTCGTAGGGCATTTGGCCAGCTTATTCCCTTCCCATACTTCCCTGCTCTCCTGTGAGCATATTTTGTCTGTGATGGGCACTGACGCCACTCACTCTTTTGTGGTGGGCAGAATGTGGTATGAGGACCCTTGCACGCATTAACTCAGAACTCCACGAGCTAGCTAGCGTTATCCTCTTCAAGAAGACAAGAAAACCAGGTTTAGAAAATTCAAGTAATTTTTGTAGGGGCACCCAGACCGTATCAGAGCCAGGCTCTGACCCCTGTGCCATCTGACTTCAGAGGT